CTCTAAACTTGACAGACGGTGTCTTCTAGATCGCTAAACTTTCAAGGTGATCACTGTAGGTTTCTAAACTTGGTGACGGTGTCATCCTAGTCCCTGAACTTTCAAGGTGATCACCAGAGGTCCCTAAATTTGGCAAGCGGTGTCATCCGTGTCCAAATAGCCCAACATATAATGCTTTTCTTCTTGCCTGCCAAATAGACCAACAGGTAATAAGGATACGTATCCCATCAGTTTTCGAGACATTGCTACACATAAAGAAAACCCAATGTTTTGGGTCAGAAATACGTAGAGTAGCAATCGGCTCTGTTATGTCCTCATCTAGCTGAGCCCAAGCATGGTCCCATGTGTCCTCGTCTGCGCCAGAGTTTACACTGAGGTGTATCAACCATGTTCCTACTTTTTAGCACACTTGCAGTGGGTATTGAATTTAAAGCAAGAAGCCGGCAGAAGATTTGGGCCCGGTTCGCTTGAGGGTCTTATAACCCATACTCTTCAGCTTATTTTTTTACCTTGAACAGTATTTTTCTCTCACAACAAATTAGCCGGAATAATATTTCGGCTTGTTTTTTCAGTGAAGCGAATGAGGAGGCATTTTCATATTCCACAACTGTTTCCATTCTTCCTGCTTTTTTCCATAATCAGAGCAGCTTGCCCTGCCTTCAAAGTAATCCTCTCTACCTTTATTTGCTTCAATCATCATTCAATAGGCAGATCGTACAGAAAATAGACCATTTCGTTCAAAGTGCCATGGATCCGTTAGAAAAGTATGTGCACGGCGTCCTGTGTGTTGAAATTCACAATGGTGGCTGTCCATTTCTGCTCCCTGCAAATTGTACTCGTGGACTTAATAATTTGTACTTCCTTTATCCTACATTATAAGTTATTTTGGTTTTCCGATATATAATATTTGTTATACATTTAGGCATGCACTATGTCTAAATATATACAAAAATTATGTATCTAGAAAAAGTAAAAACAATTTACAAATTAGAACGGATGGAGTATATATATATTGTTGTGGACGAGATCTAGCGCTGGAGACTGAGCTTAACTTTTATTTAGTTAACCGTCCAAACAAAATGATGATGGACGACTGGATTGCAAGAGTCTCGTTCCCACAACAAGCTGTCTATGGGTTGTATATACTCTAATCAGTAACCAGCTGTACCGTGTGGTCACCGAGAATATGAGAATCCAGCACTATGGATCCGTTAGAAAAGAATATGCATGGCGTACTGTGTTGAAATTTTACAATGGTAGCTGTCCATTTCAGCTCCCTGCAAAATGTACTCGCATACTTAATAATTTGTACTTCCTTTATCTTAAATTATAAGTTATTTTGTGTTTGCGATATATAATATTTGCTATACATTTTACATATACACTGTCTAAATATATACAAAAATTATGTATCTAGAAAAATTAAAACAATTACAAATAAGAATGGGTGGAGTATAGTATATTGTTGTGGACGCAGATCTAGCGCTGGAGACTTAGCTTAACTTTTAATTAGTTCACCGTCCAAACAAAATTATGACGGACAACTGGATCGCAAGAGTTGCGTTCCGACTTCCGAGATGGTAGCAAATTGATTACCAGACGTGGACTTGACCAATCACATAAGCCCTCCCCCGAATGATCCACGAGGAACGGCTGCTACTGCCGCGAGAGCCACATGGAAGCTAGCACTGGGCAGTGGATCACGGGCTCATAACTTGGGGCTGTGTGTGTAGCAGTTTGACCATCTTGAATCGCGGTGCCTCGGTGATAGCGGCGCACATGGCACGCACGCCTTATTTGACCGTTAGTCCCGCTCTGCGTCGCTCAAACGGTCATGGTGAATGGCAACGAGTTATCAGATTCATCCAATCATGTTTTTATGCTACCAAAAGAAAACAAAGCGCAGGGAGAAGTAGACAATAATATGGACAAAAAAAGTTGCACCTCGATTAAGCATGAACCCAACACATGTTGTCCGGGGGCCATCGGTCTCTCCTTGAGGAAGCTACTCCCATTGGATCATTACACCACGGTAGAATAGAAAAGACAGACATGCATATAGCTTTAGCAGTGACTGTAACACATAGTTCCAGCAATCTGACACACCTCACCTCAAACTCGCCAGTGAGTTGTAGGTCATATATATAAACTTGATAGAATCTACCCAAAGCATAACAGCATACAAGTGATCCTCATGATACTATGTACAGACATGCATATAGCTTTAGCAGTGACTGTAACACAAAGTTCCAGCAATCTGACACGCCTCACCTCAAACTCGCCGGTGAGTGGTAGGTCATATATATAAACTTGATAGAATCTACCCAAAGCATAACAGCATACAAGTGATCCTCATGATACAAACTCTAAGTAGCTCTAAGAATTCTGAGTAATCAACCAAGTGTTGTGCTTCATAATCAGTATAGGAATTCATTTAATGAAAAAGATATTTTATTTATTAGTTTGAAACTTGGATGTACGTCTAATGGTCATTGCAATCTTAGCAATCAAATCAAGCGCTTCTAACTTCTCAGTGTTCTTGCGGCATAAATATTAGTAAAACAATACACCAAAAGTTTGACAAAACAATCACTAATCTTTAGAGCAGTTTGATTAGAGCCTTGGAGCATCGCGAGTGGCCTCATGTCTTTACAAAAGTTGACATCATGCCACCTAGTGATATATTTAACAAAAATGTTGCTAACAGCCTGCCAATAAGGGAATTAAGTTAACTTGAGAATATATATAGTAGGGGGAAAAATACTCGGAAGTTTTTTTTGCTGTAATAATTATGTATACCTAAGTCCTTTGCCTGGGGGAACATAATTGACACAGCACGCCAGTCTTACTTTCAGATTAAGACTACTGATATGGAGAACGAGAAGGTCGCTACGCCTCAAATAGTAAATACCTGAGAGCAGTAATCATCCATTTCCTCTTCTTTTGTCTGACGCATTGTAGAGTACAGGTACAATAAGATGGTGAAAGGCAATTATTCTCATTTCAGATTGATATACTTACAGGCCCTGATATGATCCAAGTTGAGAAACCAAAAATAGGAGTGCATTTCAAAATTTGAGGCAGAAACAAAAACTTGGATTTTCTGATAAGCGACAAGAATACAAGATATAATGGTCAATGTGAGGTTATGCTTCCTAAATCATTTTTCAGCTTAAAGCATTCAACCAATATGCCAAAGAAATTAGAACGCTTTGTTTTTGTTAGTGTCATAGTAATCAGTAGTTATCTGCCATCAATTTTAGTACAGAATCACCATCCAATATGTCAACATGTATATTTACGATCATCTTTCCAATTGCCTCTCCACCTCACATAACACAAAAAGGGGAATGTATTACTATCATATTACGCTTATTCTATTTTCAAACATTTGTTTCTGCAAGTAATAAAAAAAATTCTTGTAACAAAAAGGCGCAATAGGCCTTTGAAGAGGTATCTGACTCTGTAGTTTCTAAAACCTGGATGATGAAGACTAAAGGATATCTGTCCCCAAATAATTTTTTAGTAAGGAACATAAGGGAAGAGGGTGAGATCATCACGTTAGATGTAGTGCCACATCAATAATGGTTTGCAATAATAGATCACGGCAAGTAACGATAAAAAAATTCCTCGTAACCAAAAGGCACAAGAGGCCTATGAACAAGTGTCTGAATACGCAGGGCATTGTTACCTAAAGCCATAAATAAAGAACACACATAAGGCCAGTTAATGTTACCTAAATAGCACCGCAACGAAGAAATGGTGGTTGATAACAGAAGCAGTATAAAACAGATCACAGCGGATAATCCTTGCTGAAGAACCAAGAGGAGCTGAAGCAGTTCAGGAAACGATCCTGTAGAAAGGTAAAGGTGTAAGAAATCAACAGTGCTATGAATGTAAAGAACAGGCAGGTTCAGAAAGAGGTATAAGCTAAAGAAGTACGTAAGAACAGTAATTGTTGGGTGGACTACAAAGACAAGAATCAGTGGCGCTATTAGTCCAGGAAAAATGGCGAGGTCCAACACAGGTGAAAGAGCGAGTTATCATGCGACGAAATACAGTCACAAACAATGAGTAGAGCTATCTATAACAGAACCATATTTATATACAAAGAGCATACATAAACCGCGGGCAATAGACACATATTGCTCCAAATATGGCATAATCCACAGGAACACCTAAAAGAAACATTTATGACAATATTTGATATCATACCACAAGAGAAATAGGAGGAAGGTGGATATATTAATTGGCACAGATAGGTTATCAGAGCTAAAGCTCAAACTCATGCATACCTCAGTTATTGGAATTAAAAGAGCACTTCCCGTCAACCTGCAGCAAAATAGAGAATAGTGAGGCCAGAAGTTCAGTGAACTCAATATCAATTTAGTAAACACAATATTTTTCAGGCAAGACAATACTTAAAGGACAATGTCACACATAGGGCATCAACCTAGAACATGAGACTAACCCATTGAGATCTTATCGACAAAAGTTGCAGTAGTAATGAGAACTGCAGTATCTGCTCTAGCCTCTGATGCAAATCAATCAACATTCAAAATTAATCACACCAAGAAATCTAATCGAAATCCCCACCCACTCATATGGAGCTAACTTGAGAAAGATCACAGAACCTTTCCCACAGCCATAGTGAGGTAGGAACTGCAAATTGGCGCCGTCATCCCAGAGATGAACACAGAGCAGGCAAACATTTAGTCTTGACCTTTTTTTTGAAAGAAGTCAAGGTTTGTTTGCTTGGCTAGGTGCACTGAACTAGTGCTATATTGACTTCAAACACCTTCAAATAGTGTTGTTTAATGGAGCTAAGTGTTTTTTTTTAAGGAAGTCAAGGTTTGTTTGCTTGGCTAGGTGCACTGAACTAGTACTATATTAAGTCAATAACAGTGACATACAAACTGCTGTAATCACTCTATCTATATATCAGCTATTGCTACTCCAACTTTATTTTCAAAGACTAAACAACACTTGCCAATACCGAGATGGCGAGGGTGAGGCCATGTAGCCAAATCACACTGCTGGGCATCTTGCTGCTGGCTGCAGCTCTGCCTAGTTCCTCCTTGAGCAGTAGCAGTGAGACTGACCTCACTTCTCTGCTAGCTTTCAGAGCCCAGGTGTCTGATCCTCTTGGAATCCTTCGCATGAACTGGACAGCCAGCACATCCTTCTGCCACTGGATAGGCATCACTTGCAGCCCGCGTCGGCAGCGTGTCATTTCTTTGGAGCTCCCCAACATACCCCTGCAAGGCATGATCAATCCATATCTTGGTAATCTCTCTTTCTTGTTTTCCCTCAATCTCGCAAACACAGAGCTGTCAGGCTCCATTCCAGCTGATCTTGGAAGGTTGACTCGTCTTAGAGTTCTTGATCTCGGTCACAATCGATTGTCAGGTACTATACCATCTGCCATAGGAAACCTTACTAGAATCCAGGTTCTTGTTCTACACTACAACAGTATCTCGGGGCATATCATTCCAGAGCTCGAAAATTTGCATGACATTAGGTACATAAGTTTTGTAAAGAATGACTTAAGTGGCTACATACCTGAAAATTTATTCAACAGCACACCTTTGTTAAGCCACATAAATTTTGGAAACAATAGCCTGTCAGGAACAATACCAAATTGTATTGGTTCCTTGTCCAAGCTAGAGACCCTAGCATTGCAAGTTAATCAACTCACAGGCCCAGTGCCTCCATCCATATTCAACATGTCTAGGCTGCAGCAAATGATCCTGTACGGAAACTACAAGCTCACTGGACCTATCCCTGATAATATAAGCTTTAATCTCCCGATGTTGCCAGTGATCGATCTCCATAGGAACAGCTTCAAAGGTCGACTCCCATCTGGACTTGCAGCATGTCAATACCTCAATAAAATTAATATGATTGCCAATTTATTTGCTGATGTTTTGCCAACATGGTTAGCTACACTACCACAGCTAACTGTCATAGCCCTGGGCAACAATCAAATTTTTGGACCAATCCCAGATGTGCTCAGCAACCTCACCGGGCTTGTTGACCTAGAACTTGCGTTCTGTAATCTAACTGGAGAGATTCCACCGGGATTGATAGAATTGAGGAAGCTTTCTAGATTGCACCTTTCGCATAATCATCTGACTGGCTCATTTCCTAGTTTTATTGGTAACCTATCTGAACTATCTTTTCTGGTCTTGAAATCAAATGCATTGACAGGATCTGTACCAACAACAGTTGGGAATAGCAGATCACTTAACATTTTTAGCATTGGGTGGAACTTCCTTCATGGAGGACTTGATTTTTTGCCTATCCTTTCGAATTGCAGGCAACTCCAAACCCTTGACATTTCAGCTAGTTTTTTCACTGGTAATCTTCCTGACTATCTGGGAAACTTCTCTAGCCAGTTGTCATTCTTCTTAGCATTCGACAATGAGTTAACTGGCAATCTTCCTGCTAGTCTATCAAATCTAAGTGCTCTAAGCCTGTTGGACCTTTCATACAACCAAATAAGCAGCTTAATCCCAGAGTCCATCATGACGTTGAAAAATCTACGGATGCTTGACTTCTCCATGAATAACATGTCTGGTCATGTACCAAAACAAATTGCTACTCTCAGCAGCCTAGAACGATTGTTTCTTCATGACAACAAATTTTCAGGTGTTTTACCAAATAACCTTGGTAACCTCACTAGGATGCAGTATATTGGGCTGTCTTATAATCAGTTCTCTTCAGGTGTGCCATCCAGCATTTTCTACCTTGACAATCTCGTTTTACTTGATCTGTCTCACAATTCCATAACTGGTGTGTTACCGTTACCTGATGATATTAGCAGCTTGGCACAAATTGATCAAATCGATCTTTCTGCCAACCACTTGTTTGGCAAACTTCCCAATTCACTTGGACAGCTTCAAATGCTGACCTACTTGAATCTATCAAATAACTTGTTTAGTGGCTCAATTCCTGACTCCTTTAAGAAACTATCAAGTATAGCGACACTCGACCTATCCTCCAACCATCTGTCTGGTAACATTCCGAAATACTTTGCCAATTTTACCTACCTAATGAGCCTTAATCTCTCCTTCAATAATCTACAAGGTCAGATACCAGAGGGTGGTGTTTTCACAAACATTACTCTGCAGTCTTTGATGGGCAACTCTGGGCTGTGTGGTGCTTCTCGTTTAGGATTTTCACCGTGTCCAGGAAATTCTTACTCGGCTCATTCACACATCCTAAAGTTCATACTCCCTGCAACTGCAACTGTGGCACTATGTCTTATAGCTATTTGCTTGTACCTGTTGATCAGAAAGAAAAAATTAAAGCAGAGGGAGGTAATGGGTTCTGCCAGGATGGCTGATGCTTTTGGCCATGATGTAATCTCCTACCATGATATTGTGCGTGCTACTGGTAATTTCAGTGAGGAAAATTTGGTGGGATCTGGAAGCTTTGGTAAAGTTTACAAGGCCCAACTGGGTGACAACTTGGTTGTTGCAATAAAAGTTCTGAATATGCAGCTTCAACAGGCTGTGAGGAGTTTCGATGCTGAATGCCAAGTATTGCGCATGGTTCGGCACCGCAACTTGATACGAATTATTAACACCTGTTCCAACCTAGACTTTAGAGCACTGGTGCTTGAGTACATGCCTAATGGTAGCTTGCAGTCACACCTGCACAGTGAAGGCACGCCACACCTTGGATTCCTTAAGAGATTAGACATTATGCTAGATGTGTCGATGGCAATGGAGTATCTGCACCATGAGCACTATGAGGTAGTCCTGCATTGTGACTTGAAGCCTAGCAATGTGCTATTTGACGAAGCAATGACAGCACATGTTGCAGACTTTGGCATTGCAAAACTGCTCCAAGGTGAGGAGAGCTCCATGATTTCAGCAAGCGTGCCTGGAACAATAGGATACATGGCACCAGGTACCCCACTAATTTCACTTACACAGTCACACTGTTAATTACTATTGATAATGTGTAATAATGTTGTTGTCGCTAACCTACGGTGATACTATTGCTTGTCACCAGAATATGGCTCCCTGGGTAAAGCCTCAAGGAAGAGTGATGTATTCAGCTTCGGTATCATGTTACTGGAAGTCTTCACCGGAAAGATGCCAACTGATTCAATGTTCGCTGGAGAACGAAGCCTTCGGGAGTGGGTTCATCGAGCATTTCCATCGAGGCTTCTTGAGCTCCTGGACACTGAACTCGTACAAGATATTGAAGAAAATTGCGGCTTTATCCGTAATCATGGTAACAATCCCTCAGAGTCTGCTAGCAGTCTAATTGACCTTGTCCCAATATTCGAGTTGGGTCTGCTGTGCTCAAGAGATGCACCTGATGAAAGGTTGACAATGAAGGATGTGGTTGTGAAGCTGAAGAGGATGAAGAAGGACTATGTTGATTCTGCGGGGAGGAGGTAATGGTGAATCACTACTACAACACAGGGATATAGTAACACCAACTTGTGAAAGTGTTACTGGTCCTCTTAGTAACACATCTTTTTTTGTGTTGCAATTGGCTGTGTTACTGTGGACTGATCTAGTGGAACACAATATATGTGTTCTTTTATATCAAGAAAAGTGTTACAGTGATTCTTTGTTGCAACACTTTTATTAAGCTCCAAGAACACTTCCACATTGTAGTTGAGTACATACTTTGTAACACATTTACTTATCTACTGGAACATTTGTCTAGTGTTACTATGATTATTTGCCATAACATTTTTTTACTTCTAGTAACACTTCCACAGTGTGATAGAGTGCATAATTTGGAGGGTAAAGTCCAATTTACACCCTCCAACTTTCACTAAAGTCCGGATTTCAACCTCAAACTTCAAAACCGGACAACTTTGGCCCTCCAACTCTCGAAAAAGTTCAACTTTCAACCTTTCTGGGCGATTTTGTGGATAAACAGTAACTTTTGATATTTTTGGGAGCGCCGAAATTTTATATTATTTTTTGAACATCTTAACGTCATCAAATGAAAAAACTCAAAACTATAAAGTTGTAAATCTCATCGAGGTCTACAATTTATATATAAAAATTATCTTCATCCGACATCGTATTGAAGGATTTTCTATTTTTTGAAATTTGAGTCTCATCACGCGATAAAATATGGTGCTGAAATTTTATATTATTTGATGAGCATCTCAAATGTCCTCAAATAAAAAAAATTAAAACTATAAAGTTGTAGATAATCTTTAGGTCTATAATTTACATACCTCGATTATCTTCATACAACTTTATCGTATTTAATTTTTTCTATTTTTGAGGACAGTAAGATGTCTCATAATATAAACAAAGCACCATATTTTATCGCGTGATGAGACTCAAATTTCAAAAAATAGAAAACCCTTCAATACGATGTCGGATGAAGATACTTTTTATATGTAAATTGTAGACCTTGATGAGATATACAACTTTGTAGTTTTGAGTTTTTTCATTTGAGGACGTTAAGATGCTCGAAAAAATAATATAAAATTTCGGCGCTCCCAAATATATCAAAAGTTACTGTTCACCCGCAAAATCGCCCAGAAGGTTGAAAGTTGGACTTTTTCGAGAGTTGGAGGGCCAAAGTTGTCCGGTTTTGAAGTTTGAGGTTGAAATCCGGACTTTGGTAAAAGTTGGAGGGTGTAAATTGGACTTTACCCTAATTTGGAACAAAGGAACACATCGTTTGTAACACATGTTTTACCTATTTTAACACATCCAAATTTTGAAATAAATATTTATTTTACCCTTGCATGAGTCATAGTTACTACATCCTGAACACCTCCAATAACCACTGAAGAACAGAGAAAAAGATGTAAGCTCTGAAGAAAGAGGAGGGGGGAGGAGTTAAAATTATAGATTGTATGGTGTTAGTTCTGCAGAATGACCAGGTTAAGTGAACTTTGTGCGCAATTTGCAAACATGAAAAAGAATCTGAAAGGATATTTCCTGTACTTGACTGATAACAGCAAAGTATGGGAGCTATATAAAATGGGACGTTATACACAAATACAATATGAGAAAAAATAATCAGGAACAGAAAATATAGCAACTATGGTTCCATAAAGAATGAAGAATGGCAGCACGAATAAATTCCATGACCTCTACTTAGAACATTTTATGGTGAAGAATTAAGGCAGTGTTTTTTTAGAACAAATTAAGGCATAATGTTTCAAACATTAAGACGGGTTGAAGTTTGGCTATATGATAATTGAAATGTTTTAACCATGTACCCATCAGCCTTCAGATTCTAGAGTTAAAGCCTACGCGCCTGAGTTGCCTCTGAAAAAATACACTGCTAGGAGCAAACACAAGATAGAATAGTACAAGTTGAGATTACCTGCAATCACGGAGATACAAATTTGCTTGCTTGCCAATATATCAGTTTAAGAATTCTTGAAAGGTTTTGGCTTTCTTTCATTTGCCTCTGTTCACAGTATATACAACAATTGGGATGTTGTATGCCACCGTTTGCAAAGCGCCCGGCTTACTGAAGGCCGACCTAGAGCTCCGAGTTCGCCATCTCCGCGAAGAGCGGAAGCCCGTGGTGCTGCATCGAAACCACCGTGCCCGCAGCTTCCGGCCGGGATGCTCGGAGGCCTCCGCGAAGGCGGCGAACATCACGCGCAGGGCCTCGTCCGCCATGGTCAACTTCCCCTCGCGCGCGACGAAGGTGGTGGGCTGGTGGCGGCGGTGGCGGTGGCGGTGGCGTAGAGGCGCATGAGGCGCGGAGGTCCGGGAGCGTGGAGGGGGCGGGCTCGGCGGGGTAGAAGTCGTCGGCGGAGGCGTTAGGTGCGGCACCGGAGCCAGGAAGAGGGAGCGGAAGGTGGGGAATGGCGGAGCTTGGGAAGGATGCGGCGGCCATGGCGTTAGTTGCGGTGCTTTCCGCCTTTCCCTTGTGCATGCCATTCTCCACTCCGGTGGCCGCCGCCGCCGACCTGAGCGGTCTTGCCCAGCGGCATTGTGATCTGTAGCGTGTAACACTGTCATGTACAGTATTGTGCAGTTATTATTAACCGTGCTTATCTGCTAATGGACATTTGAGACAACTAGGTAGGCTGGCGCGCTTCGCCACGCCCGTAGTGACTGCACATAGCTTTGGAAAAGGCAATACGTTCAGTAGGGTTAAGGCAGGCTTGGAAACAGCAAAATATTCAGTGGAGTGAAGTAGATGGCAAGCGTTCACAGATTCATTAATCTATATATGTATAACAGAGTGAAGCGTCACTGAGTAAAATATACATTAGTTACATGATCATGCATTCCGACACAAATGTTTAGGCTTCAACAGGAAGAGAGTATAGACGTAAACAGCATGCATTATGCATGGTAAAGAGAGGATTTATCTCGATGGCATGTATGATCATTTCACTTTGATGCAGAAGTTGTGTGTATAGGTAGAGAGAAAGTACAACTAACAAATTGGATACAGATCTACTCTGAACATTGATCTAAATTACTATACTAAAGACATTGGCATGATCGCCGGCTGTGAAGAAATGTCTGGTAGAAGGATACATTCATCATTCATGCATCATCAAAAAACCAATTTGAGAAGTACCTTCTTCCAGGAACACAAGGCTCGTACACGCTCTCGCAAAAAAAAAAAAAAAAAGTTCACACACACTAATAAAAACATTTTTTAACTTGAAACACCAAATTTTCAGACTTTGATGCTGCCAAACACACTACTTTCTCCTGAAAGCTGAAAACAATTAAATAAAAGTGTAAAGGGAATATCAAGTAGGATATAAAGCTATAATAGTAGAAGCGTATCGTTCAAACCATATATAGGCAAAAATAGGATATAAAGTAGTACACTATGCTTTTTCAAGTGGTTGAATAGACAATTACGAATCATCATTTTAATGTCAAAAAAGAAACACGACAGCAACAAAAGTCAGACAAGACCACCGACAGGTATATTTGTTTACCTTTGGTGTAATGAACAATAACAACTCACTTTGTACTTCATGTTACGCCATGCCCATGCGTAGATAAGCATCTGAATAATAATTTTTCAAGATTAAATAATTTATTAGTCACGAAGGATTGGAAGAATAGATGAAGTCACCTAATGCATAGACATATTGACTACGCTATGCAGAATTGAAAACTTTCTTAGTGAAGTCAAGAAAGGTTTTTGTATGTATGGCCGATATGACTGTACTCTTTGTGATAATGGGCCAAAATAATAACATAGTAGTATGCAGTGTGAACCGTATACAATAACTGAATATTATAATATTATACAGTTGAATGTATGCCTTACTAACTGAATACGGTGTGCACATAGAGATTGCAATGCATAACAGAATCTGAAGAATGCCAGACCTGGTTCGGATCATCGAAGGCAGATTTAGCACTAAAATTAAGGACTGCAAGTTTAGGATGGGAAAATATATATTTTTCAGCTTCTCCCTTGATTCTATACCTGAATGAAGCATATAAGAGAAGCAGTGTACCCAGATCAATAAGCGTTTAAAAACAGGAAAACTTGGATGCTTTGTTTACTCAGTTATTTCCACATATGCCAAAATATCTCCTCAGATGTTCAATGGCTTTATTTATATCTGAATGAACAATATATTTATGGAATTGTGAGGTCCATGCAGTTTCAGAGAACAAAATTAGCAAGGAAATGGGAGGCCACAGTGAAGAGCAAGAGGCTTAGTGTCAATATTATTAGCTTGTAAAAATAAGAAAGTGTGATCCAAGATAGCCAAAAACCTATGGGTGTTAAGTAAAATACTAAGTATGTATAAACTAACAAACAACATCAGAGTTCAGATGTCATGTAACACTACATTTATAGGACATATGAAATTCAAGAATCAACAAACATAAAGGACCGGCATCTAAACTAACTAAAAATTCAGATTTAGTTAATTATAAAAGGTTTAGCTAAAAATGCCCTCAGAACTGATGCATAATGAACCATTAGTCAACATGTAGGAATCCAAAATGCATTTACCTATTGGTATTCAACCATGAGGGCTAAGATTTCGTGAAGAACCAAGGTGCAGGCTGCTGCAGCTGTTGATCAGGTCGCAGGGCTGACAAAAGGCACAAAGTAACTCCTTGCTGAAAATGGGTAAACTGCTTTCCATGTTGGAATTAATAACTAAAAGAAATATAGGATTGAACGTAGTAAAGAGTGGCAGACAAAGGACCATAAAAAACAGTGACCATCAATATGCCAACTGACAACGGAGGTTATTTTTAGGACCATGCTTACGATAAACGGCAACTCGGCAAGTAAGCACAGTAGCTCAATTGTATTGTCTGCTTTGAAGTAAGGTTGACAAAGATCGAAAATTGCAAAGCCAAAGGAAGTATTTTGTTGCACCTGCACACAATTGAAGGAGATGCTGAAGGTCAGTATAACACCATTTTATCTAGTTTTGAAGACATGCATTGCCGATTTGGTG